AAACTTGATAGAGGCCCCCTCATTCCTCAGACCAAGGTGCTGGCCGCCGGTGTTCCACTCCCGGAACGAAAAGGCTAAATGCCAAAAATACCAAATGCTGGCTCAGGCCATCGGTGGCCAGGAGATGGCCCCACACGGGGTTCTCAACGCCTGTCAGCAGGACATCCTCTGGGCTCCTGTTACCGCTGCGGAGGGGAAGGGCATTGGGCCAAAGCCCATCCCAACCCCAGGCTGCCACTATGGCCATGTCCTAGATGCCATGCCCCTGGACATTGGGCAGTTGATTGCCCTGGCTCCTGGTGGGGGGTCAGGTTGGTCTCGCTTTTCAGTCCAGACCTCATAGGGCTGGCAACAGACGATTGAAGGGGCCTTGGAACTCCCCTCCCTGTGACTACCATCTCATTTCTGGAACCCAGGGTAAGCCTTCTGATTGATGGGTGCCCCATCTGCCTCCTCCTGGACACTGGTGCCACTTTTTCGGTTCTGACAGAGTTTTGGGGGGCCACCAGCCCATCACAAACCCCTATTGTCAGGGTAGGGGGACAAACTATTTTTCCCAGAAAGACCCCCATGCTTTCCTGCTCCTTTTCGGGTCATCCTTTCACCCACCAGTTTCTAGTCATGCCCCAATGTCCCACCCCTTTACTGGGAAGAGATATTTTGACCAAATTTTGGGCCTCCATCTCATTTAACTTCTATCCCATTCCTCTTTTCGCCCTTATGGCTATGGCTGGCCCTTCTGATTTTACCAGCCAAACCCTCCCTTCAGGGGTGGATCCTAGAGTATGGGACACGGACACTCCTTCCCTGGCAACTTGTCCTCCCATCAAGATCCTCTTACAGGACCCTCATGGCTTTCCGTTCCAGCCTCAGTACCCCCTCCCTACTTCCAGCCTGTTGGGACTACAACCAATCATTTACGATTTACTCCAAAAGGAGCTCCTCAGACCTACCCACTCCCCATACAACTCCCCCATCCTAGCTGTAAAAAAATCGAATGGCACCTACTGCCTTGTCCAGGACCTTAGACTCATCAATAATGCTGTTAAACCTATACACCCCCTTGTCCCTAACCCTAACACCATTCTCTCCTCTATTCCTGTCTCCTCCACCCACTTCTCTGTCCTTGACCTCAAAGATGCCTTTTTTACCATTCCCCTCTCCCCCGACTCACAGGACATCTTTGTTTTCACCTGGACGGACCCCCACACACATCACTCTCAATGACTCACCTGGACAGTCCTCCCTCAGGGTTTTAGGGATAGCCCCCATGTATTTGGCCAGGCACTTGCTAGCGATCTAAAAAACCTCCATCTCTCTAGGTCCACCCTCCTCCAATACATGGATGATTTACTCTTGTGTAGCCCCTCTCTAAACATCTCTTAAACTGACACCACTTTACTCTTAAACTTTCTGGCAGACCAGGGATATCGGGCCTCTCTCCAGAAAGCCCAGCTTTCTCAATTAACAGTCACATACCTGGGAGTTCAATTGTCCCATGACTCTAAGGCAATTACTCTGGACAGAAAACAGCTCATTTGGGAAATGCCAGCTCCCAAAACGAAGGAAGAAATTCTTTCCTTTTTGGGAATGGCCGGATACTTCTGGGTCTGGATCCCCAACTATTCCCTCCTGGCAGCCCCCTCATACGATGCCACTAAGGGAGAGCCCTCTGAACCTTTACTTACCTCTATTGACACCCCTTTCTGACGCCTTCAGCAGGCATTCCTCCAGGCCCCAGCCCTCTACCTGCCAGATATCCAACAACCATTCACCCTCTATGTCCATGAAAATAAAGGCTTAGCCCTGGGAGTTCTGGGTCAAGACAAGGGTCCAACATTTGCCCCAGTAGCATATTTATCTAAAAAACTTGACCCCACAGTCCGGGGATGGGCCCCCTGTCTATGGGCCTCATCAGTAGCCCATGTTCTAGTTCAGGAAGCAAAAAAACTTACTTTAGGGGGGTCAATCACAATCATCTCCCCCCATCACCTGGCGGAACTCCTAACATATAAGGGCTTAAGAACCCTTCACCCTTGCCAGATCCTGTGACTTCTTGTCTTCTTCCTCCATGACTCCTCCATTATCCTCCGTGCTTGCTCTTCCCTAAATCCTGCCACCCTCCTGCCCACCTCTACTGCCATGCCTGCCCACTACTGCATTGAGACCCTGGAGGCCCTTCTCTCCTGCCCTTCACACATCTAGGAGGGACCCCTGCAGGGCTCCACCTACACCTGGTTCACTGATGGCAGCTCATATGTAGGGGGGGGTGTATGGAGAGCAGGTTATGCTATAGTGTCCTTAACCCAAGTCATCGAGGCACAGCCCCTCCCTCCCAGTACCACCAATCAACAGGCTGAACTGTTTGCAGTCACAAGGGCTTTCGAGCTGGCAGCCGACCATTCTCTCACTCTATACACTGACTCTAAATATGTCTTCCACATCCTTCTCTCCCACTCAGCTATCTGGAAGGAAAGGGAACTATTAACCACACGAGGGACCTCTGTCACCAACTCCAACTTCATTACCAACCTTCTCCGGGCCTCTCTCCTTCCCTCTAAGAATGGGATCGCCCACTGCTGGTCCCACCAAATGGATTCATCACCCATAACTATGGGCAAGTCTAAGGCAGATCAGGCTGCCCGACAGGCAGCAAGGGAGAATTACTCCACTGTGGCCCTTGCAAAGCCTCAGGACCAGACTCCTGAACCAGCCCATGAGTCACTCCGTAGACATACTCTCCTTTCATGTCTACACTCTATCTTCCACACTAGCACTCAGAATCTCAAGCTTTTCTTAAATTCATTCTTCCTCCTTACCCCGGAGGATTCCCAATATCTACACCATCTCACATCCACATGTCCCACTTGTCAAAGGACCCACCCACACACCCCTCTAAGGCCTGGCCCATTCCCTACCCCACCAGGCCAGGGGACACATCCCAGGGGCAGATTGGCAGATAGACTTTACTAACATGCCCAAGGTAAAGAAACACAAATGCCTTTTGGTACCCTTGCCATCGGTACCTCTATGGGCACCTGATTCTACATAAGTTCCCCTTCCTACACATATCTGTTATACCCCGCTCTTGACATCTTGGTCCAACTTTTCTCTTTCCTGTCATATCAACGTCACAGTTACAGCACAACTGGCGTCCCCCTCGGGGCTATATTTCTGGTGCCACAACACCCTACACTCCTGCATAACCCAAGCTATCCCCGTGCCCTGCATACTGGTAATCATAGTTCCTCAACTTACTCTTTATAGGGAAGCTGAATTCTCCCTCCCATTTGGTGCTTGACCAAAGCACGCTGACTTCTTGCCCGTTATGGTGGGTGTAAGTTTGGCAACCTCTGTTGCTGCCACAGGCTTCGTGGGGGGAGCTCTTGGCCATAGTGTTATTTCAGCAAGGGACTTTGAGGAGTGCTTACAGATCACCCTTGAATCCACCTCGGCCTCACTGGCCTCCCTTCAGCGTCAGTTCACCTCTCTAGCTCAGGTGGCCCTCCAAAATCGTAGGTTGCTGGACCTCTTAACGGCCGAAAAGGGGGGCACCTGTTTCTTCCTCCGGGAGGAATGTTGCTATTATGTCAATGAGTCCGGAATTGTGGAACAAAATGTCAAAAGGTTAACAGATTTGGCCGAGGACCTCCTAAGGGGACCCAGTAAAAACACCTTAACTGACCTGCTGAGCTCTCCTCTCGTCACCTGGTTCCTGCCTTTCTTGGGTCCTTTGCTTATGCTCATTGCTCTCTGCACCCTCCTACCCTGTTTATTCCAGTTTCTCAGATCTCAGGTGAGCAGAATCTCTAGTCAAACTTTCAACCAGCTTCTCCTTCAGGGATATCACCCCCTCATAGCTCAGCCGGAGGACACCCACGATGAACCCTACCAGGACACTGGACTATGAGCCACTTCAATCCCATACAAGGCGCCTACTGCAGTTTCTTGATTCCCTACGAGAGGACAGCTGGCTAATACCTGCCATACGAGGCCCAGAGGAGTGGCTGGAGACCATTTACGGTCTATGGCTACAGGGAACCTTTATCGAATTCAGGGAAGAGGAAATTTTAACCTTTGGAGCCTGGGTGTACGCCGTTATGAGACTCGCTACTCCGGCGCCATCTGCCAACTGACCCTCCCTTCCCCTACGCCGCCCCTTGCCAGCTCGAAGAAGCCAGAGCGAACACAACGCCCCCCTTCCTTAACAAACAAAAAAGGGAGGAATGTTGGCAGTAATGGCGCCGATAGGTTTCGGTTCTTATTGCACCCTTAAGCTTCTGTTTTCCAGGGTCACGGTCCTGCCTCCCAGGGTCACGGTCCTGCCTCAAGTCTAGCTTGAATCCTCCTTCTGCCCCAACCTCCAATCAGCATGAACCATAAGATCCTAACCAATCAGATCATGCCGAGTCTCACTGAGGATATTTAAGCCCTTGCCCTTCCTGCCTCTCTCTCTCTCCCTTGGCTCTCTCCCTCTCCCACCCTGCAATAAAGAATCTCTTGGCCAGATCACTCCTCTCCACGGGGTCACTTTTGGGGCCCACATTTCCAACACTTTGACTTCCTATCAACCCTGAAAGCAGGCCTCACCATCTCCATTCAGCATAAGGAACCTGGAATATGGCCTGTAAGGGACTTTCACAGAGATCTACTGATAGGCGATAGTTTCTGATTAATGCCCCAGTTTCTTCGTCTTTGCTCTATTGTTATGCTGTCAGTGAGGGACAGGAAGTAGCAGCTGTTTGACTTAAGAAATGGGAAGTAGTGCCCTAGACCACGAATTCAGAGAGCCAGGCTGTCAATATAACTGCGTATTATTTTTAGAAGTTACTTAAATGCATTCTATTAAATATATTTTAAATACTTGGCTATATTTGTGCTAATATGTAAAATGTTTTCTTATCATGACATTAATTTATCAGAATAAAAAATTTCCTTTGAATGATCAAAGTGTTTTTATAAAACCTGTTTTAACGTATATTTTTTTCTTTTTTTCCTAGCCATTCTTATACTGGCCAAGATTATAGCACACAGAGAAACACTGGGAAGATTTCTTTAGATCAGATTGATTCGGTAAGCATCACATACTTCTAAACTTAGACCGTTGTTAATGGAGGAAACAGGGTTTCTTCAGCCAGAGTTTGGGGTGGGAGGAGGGAGAGAATGTTAGTTCATTGCTTGCTGATCACTGATATGGAAAAATCTCATGCCCTATGCATGTGATTTTTTTTAATCATAGGAAAAACAAAGCTAATGAGAAAATTGTAGTTTAATATAAACAGAATTTAATCAATTATTCCAAAAGGGAATTCTTTCAACAGTGCTAGCTAAGTGGTGTTTATGTGCTACTATTTAGATGCCATGTACATTTAAAAAATGAGAGATCTTAGTTAGCTAGAACTGTGCTAATAAAATGCCTTAGACTTGAGGCTTAAATAACAGAAATTTATTTTTGTTGTTTAGTCTGGAGGCTAGAAGTCTAAGGCAAGGCAGCAATGGATTTGATTTCTCCTAGGGCTTTTCTTCTTCCCTTATAGATGGCCACCTTCTTGTGTCTCCCCTTTTATTTTTCCACTGTTTGCATACATCCCTGACATGTCTTTCTCTTTATATAAGAACATTAGTCACCTACTGCCTCAACATCATGACCTTGTATAACCTTCATTACCTCTTTTAAGGCCTTATCTTCAAATGTAGTCAGATTCTGAGGTACTAGAGATTATGACTTAAACATGAATTTTGGGGAAGGAGCACAGTTCATTAACAGTATTCACCAACGGTGCTAAGTGTAGGCTACAAGCCTTGTGTTGCTGATATTAGTGGGTAGCTCATTTCAGCTGTTTCACTTTATCATTCCCTAATAGAATGAAAGAGTAGTATATTTTGATATATTTTAAACTTTGGAGTTTTTCTTTAATATGTAATAGAATTTGCACCACAAAAGGAAAAATAATGCACAATAATCTTCCTTTAGACAACTACCACATTATTCACATTAATTAAAAATGTACTGAGATTTTAATGCTGGGAAACAAGAATTCTAGTAAGGTTACTAGGGAGAGACCAGAATGAATAGATTGTCTTCTATTTGAAAAATTATAATCCAGTACTTGCATAAATATTATAACCCAGTACTTAATATATCTAGAAATAACAGTAGACTTGCCTCCCTTATACAGTGGATTTGAAATTTGCTTTCAAGCATGTCTCTTCATCTTTGAATTTCGTCCCTACCAGTGCCTCTTTCTGATACCTCCCTTCTCCCTCATTTGTGTCTACTTTATTACGTGAATGATTGGAAGTTAATTCTGTTTCTGACCCTAAATGTTTTCCCCATTCATAAGCACATATGAACTTGGTTAGATACAGTGGCGGCACTAGAAGTTTAATCATTGATTCATTTAGTGGATGGATATTGAGCCTATCAGTTGTGTGCCAGTTGCTGTGTTGAGGATGTGGAGGTGAATGAGACAAAATGATCTCATCTTTGTGGACCTCGCTTGAGGGAAATAGACAACATGGTAAGTAATAGATGAGCAATAAATGTAAAATTATGTTAAGTGTTATGATGGGATGTATGGTGGGTCTCCCCTTAGACCCTGGGCTGAGTAATGCAGATACATATTTATTTGGACTGTCCCCTAAATTCTGCCTGATGTTTGCATAGCTTCAAATACGCAAATATTTAGCTGGATAGTGGATATGCAGGTAGCATAACCCCTAACATTTGCATTCTTCACCAACTTTTCCTTTAGATTCTTCTAACTAAAATCTGATTCCATCTGTGACACTCTTGCCCCTGCAGCCCTCTTCAAGTGGAGGCTGCTTTGTCCCTTACTCTGTGCAGGTTTGGGGTGAATAAGCAGCTCCCATGGGCCGTATGACCATTTCTCTGCCTTCCTTGTGGGAGCTCCAGCTCCTTCAAAGCCCTGGGATCACATCCCACCACTGATTCCTCCCTGTCTCTGGCTCCCTCCCCTTAGCCATTGATGATGTTGTACCCAGCTAACGTCTTTTGCACTAGCACCATGCCCGTTGATATTCTTGGCCTCTGCAGCAGCCAAGATGGTAATTCATCGCATATCCTTTGGAGTTCCTTTGACTGCTCTCTTTCCACATTCGTCTTCCAGTCTCATTATGACTAACCCTGGACCCTATCCTTTCCATTTCCATTATTTGGACTACTGTCAGTACCTCTTAGTATTCGTCCAGCTTCCATTCTTGCCCGCAAATAGTCTGTTTACCATAGAACAGCCAGAGCTCTGTTTATCAAATCATTATCAATCTTCTGGTGAAAACCCTCAGCAGGGTCTCTATATCATATTTAGACTAAAATGCAGACTCCTTTTATGGCCTGTGAAGCCATGTCTGCTCATTCCCATTTTGTCTTCTCCATTTTGGCTCATTCACTGTGTTCCAGACAAATGGAATTTAGGCTGTTGTAGCACACCAAGTTCCCTCCTTCTCAGGGTCCCTACTTTTATTTTCTAATATGAGCAGTACTTCTGCTTGTTCATTTGACAGGAGTCTGACTTAAAATCTGTCCTGTCTGACATGCCATCTCCTCAGAGACTTTCCTGGCCACCCAAATTAAGGTAGATCTTTCCTAGTCACACATGATCCCATTACTATTTTAATAATTTCCAGTGCTTTTGAGACCAGACAGTTCCTTTTCTTGTGTTCATTGCTTGTCTTCTCCCACAAGAAGGTAAGCTCTTTGATGACAAGGTTTGACACTTTTGTTCACTGTGGTTCCCCAGGGCTATACACATAGTAAGGGTTCAGTAAATATCTGATGATTGAGTAAAAGAGAGTCGTGGAATTGTACCAAAGGAAGCTGGAGTTGAATAGCTTGGCTTTGGTTAGATGATATGGGAGTAGGCAGGGCCCACAGAGGGAGGAAGTGAGAAGGTATAAACCTGACTATGTGATCAAGGGGCAGTGAATAAACAGCTGGAGCAGAGGATTTGCATTTGCACGGTAACAAAGTAGCTCCCCATCTGGCACAGTGCTTCCATGGGGTCCGATTCATGCTTGCTATGCAATTGATCATGAATCTGACATGTAATAGTGAATGTAATACTTGCTGTGTCTTTTTCCTTTACTTAACCGAATTAAAGGGAACATTATGTTTTATTCATCTTTGCTTTCTAAAATACTGAACAAATGTTTATTCTGTTACATAGAATTGGAAAGTAGTTATCACATTGAGGGGATCTTTCATGTTTATACTAAGAATGATAAATATTCATTGATGTTTTTGGATTAAAAATAACCAAGTAATAGTATGAAGAAACCAAAATAGTCATGTGAAAATGACCCAAAAGGCTTTCATAGTCCTGTTGAGGGAGGACATAGGTCTAATGAACTAGGCTGGGAAGAGAAAAATTCAGTTTTCTTTTCAAAGGATGAAGAGAAGCTAGATGGTCACTAGGGAGAGCAGTAAAGTCAAATAAACCAAGACCTGTTCTTCCTTGCAAAGGAACTTGCCAAGAAATCTGAGGGAGCAGGATATTTGAGAAAGTCAAATGATGCAATTGAGACCCAAAGTGAAAAAGTTGAACTCAAAGTGAACAATGATATTTCACTTTTCACACTAAGGGAAAGACCTGCAATTTTCTTAACTATTGATTTCTTTAACACATTTATTTGAATTTTCCCTTTGAGAACCATTTTTCTTATTTTTGTGTTCCACTTTATATTTGTCTAAATCATCCACTGCTCAGCAATTGTACTTTTTAGACATTTATTTCAGGAAAATGCAATCTTATGTTCACACAAAAGCTTCTATAAGAATATTCATAACAGCTTTGTTTGAAATAAAAAGCTAGAAACAACCCAAATGTTGTTTATGGAGCATAAGGTTAAACAAATTGTGGTACACCATACCATGGAATATTATTTGGTAATAGAAAAGAAATGAGTTTAGATGTAATAACTTACATCAATTAAAAGAGAATTATGGTGAGTTTAAAAAAAAAAGCCAGTCCCGGCAGGGGTGGCAGGGAGGAAAATGTGTACACATGTGAGTAAATGTAAAAATGATGAAAAAAAGGCCAATCCCTAAACATTATGTATTGTGTGATCTATTTATGTAATACTCTTGAAATGGCAAAAGTACAGAGATAGACAACAGATGAGTGGTTGCCAAGGGCTAGGGAACTGGGGGAAGGGGTGATGGCAGGGGAGGAGGGTGAGAAATTAGGCTGGAGTACTTGTAAAAGGAGACAGGCAGGATCCTGTTCTGCCTCATGGCTGTGGTGGGGGTGTGGACACATGTGAGGAAATCATATGAAATTAGTGCATGTGTGCACAGAAAGCAGGGCATGAGTGCAGATGAGGATGTCTACTGGGAAGATGTACGGGGTTAGTGTCAGTGTTCTGATTTTGATACACACTATGACTTTGTAAGGCTTTATTGTTGAGGGGAGCTGGGAGCATCTCTGTGTATTAGTTCTTACAACTGCATGCACAGTTATCTCCAATAAAAAGTTTAATTCAAAAATTTCAAAAAAGAAACAGGTAAGATAAAATTTAATATTGTATTTTATGTAACCCTGTATGTTCAAAATACTATCATCTTAACATATAATCAATATAAAATACTAATCAGAAAGGGTTCATCTATAACAGTAGTACAGCAATACTTACGGTTTTTGTTTTTTATTCTAGCTAGAACTTCTAATCCCACCAAGTATTATGGGGCCTGCTATGTCTTCCGCATCACCATATGCTGTTTTTCTTGTAGCTTTCTGCCAAGTCCTTCCCCCCTTGCATGCGCCAGCTGCACAAAGCCTTGCGTGAGAATCACCACCTCCGTCATGGGGGCCGGATGCAGTATGGCCTCTTCCTGAAAGGCATTGGCTTGACGCTGGAACAGGCCTTGCAGTTCTGGAAGCAGGAATTTATCAGAGGAAAGATGGATCCAGATAAGGTAATTGTGAACAATCAGAGTGGTGAGTGAAATTCAACTTGGTGTAAATACTAAATGGTCTGTTTGTTAAATACACTTATGACATAGAGTTGAAAATTCTAAAAGGTAAATGTCTTTAATTTAGGTAGTAAACTCATGTATTAATCTCACATGGGAGTTTCCGCACCACAAAAGGTGGGGAAAAGGGTCTTCTCTGGAGTTGTGCCACCATGGTTAGACTGCAACTGCTTTCTGAGTTGTGCTTCTGCAGGATTCTGTGTGTGCATGCACACCCACAGCTGGTGAGGTTTTGAGGCCCAGGAGATACTGTGAACACAAAGTGAAAGCAATTTAAGTGTTTTCTCCTGTGCTTTGCAGCGCTCTCTGTCATAGGCAACCATTGGATAGCAATCACTGTAAACTTGAGCACTGCTTCTAAACCTGCCACAGCACTCAAGTTCTCACTTATTTCTTTCTAGCAGTGCCAGCTAATAACTTTTATTTGGAAATACAGTTTCATGCACTGTGGTGAAGTAAATTTTTTGTTTATTTCTTGGTTTTCTCCTTCCTGAAAAAAGGTTAATTATAGAACAAAGACTCTTCACCAAGTAAATTTTATAATAAACATTTGGTTATATTATCGATTAATTTGCTAGGGTTGCCATACCAAACTACCAAAGACTGAGGTGCTTAAACAACAGATATCTGTTTCCTCAACATTCTTCAGTCTTTGCAGTGTGTTCTTCCCTTGGTTGTAGATGCGCCATCTGCCATCTTCCTGTGGTCTTCTTTCTGTGTATGTGCATCACTGGTATCACTGCTGCTACTTGTAAGGACACTGGTCACAGTGGACTAGGGCTCCACTCCTCTTGACCTCATTCAACCTTTGTTACCCTGTCTGAGTATAGATACATTTGAGATTATAGCTTCAAGATAATTTAGAATAACACAATGTAGTCCATAACATGTCTTTAGCTATATGCTTTATTAAAATGTTCAGAATTTTTTTATAACATATTATAAAAGTTTTTTTTTTTTGGTCTTTCTTGGTGCTGGGAGATTCTTCAATAAGTGACTCAATAGGATTTCTTCAAACACAGTTTTGAATGTTTCTTAGACTTCTATATTTATTTCATTTAAAAGCAACATTCTGATTATAAAAATGTGAAAAATACAGAACAATTTACCTGTCCCCCATTCAGAAAGTTACTGTCAACATTTTTGCCTTTTTCTTAAGTCTAGATAACTAGTTACCATTGTTTTTCCCCATTTTAAAAATTGATATTATTTTATTATACTTTCTCCATGTTTTTGACTAATCTTTGAAAGTACCATTTTAATTAGTTACATAACATTTTATCCTTTAAAAGTGATACAATTCCTTATTGTGTGTAATCATTCCTTATTGTTGGTTATTTGGTTGTGTCTAATTTGACCTGTCTTAAATGTTACTGCAATCAATATCTTGACATAAAACATTGATTATATAGTTCAAAAAGACAAAGATGTCAACAGTAGCTACTTACGTCATTGTTTGAAAATAGAATGATGAACTTTCCTTCTATTTTTAGTTTTCTTAGAGCTTTTATCATGAAATGGTGTTGGATCTTATCAAAGGCTTTTTCTGCATCTATTGAGATGATCAAGTGGTTTTTGTCTTTGCTTCTGTTAATGTGGTTTATTATGTTTATTGATTTTTGTATGTTGAACCACCCCTGCATCCCTGGGATGAAGCCTACTTGGTCGTGGTGAATGATCTTTTTGATGTGTTGTTGAATTCGGTTTGCCATTATTTTGTTGAGGATTTTTGCATCAATGTTCATTAAGGAGATTGGCCTATAGTTCTCCTTTTTGGAGGTGTCTGTGCCTGGTTTTGGGATGAGTATAATACTGGCTTCATAAAATGTGTTAGGCAGTTTTCCTTCCCTTTCTATTTCATGGAACAGTTTAAGGAGGGTTGGTATCAGTTCTTCTTTAAAGGTCCGATAGAATTCGCAGAAAATCCATCGGATCCTGGACTTCTTTTTTGGGAGACTCTTGATTGCTGCTTCAATTTCATTTTGTGTTATAGATCTATTCAGGTATTTAATGTCCTCTTGGTTCAATTTTGAATGGTCATACTTATCTAGAAATCTGTTCATTTCTTTAAGATTTTTGAATTTATTTGAATATAGGTTCTCAAAGTAGTCTCTGATGATTTCCTGGACTTCCATGGTGTTTGTTGTTATCTCCCCTTTTGCATTCCTGATTCTACTAATTTGGGTTTTTTTCTCTCCTCATTTTAGTCAGGTTTGTCAGGGGTCTATCGCTCTTGTTTATTTTTTCCAAGAACCAACTTTTTGTTTCATTAATTCTTTGTATGTTTTCTTTTTTGTTTGTTTCTATTTCATTTTTTTCAGCTCTTATTTCTATTATTTCTCTATTTGTTTTGGGATTTGCTTGTTCTTGTTTTTCTTGGAGTTTGAGATGTACCATTAGGTCATTGATTTGGGATCTTTCAGTCTTTTTAATATATGCATTCATGGCTATAAACTTTCCTCTCAGGACTGCCTTTGCTGTGTCCCATAGGTTCCCGTAGGTTGTGTTTTCATTTTCATTGACTTCCAGGAACCTTTTAATGTCCACTTTTATTTCATCAATTACCCATTGTTCATTGAACAATGTGTTGTTCAGCTTCCAACTGTTTGCATGTTTTTTTACTGTTGTTTTTGTTGTTGAATTCTAGTTTTATTGCATTGTGATCAGATAGAATGCATGGTATAATTTCTATTTTCTTATATTAGCTGAGGCTTGTTTTGTGCCCTAGGATATGATATATTTTGGAAAAGGTTCTGTGGGCTGCTGAGAAAAATGTATATTGTGTAGAAGTTGGATGAAATAGTCTGTAGACATCAAATAGGTCCATTTGGTCTATGGTATGTTTTAGATCTAGGATTTCTTTATTGATTTTTGGTTTGGATAATCTATCTATTGATGGTAGTGGGGTATTAAAGTCTCCCACAACCACTGTGTTGGAGTTAACATATCCTTTTAGGTCCTTCAGTGTATGTTTGATGAAATTGGGTGTGTTGACATTGGGTGCATATAGGTTGATAATTGTTATTTCCTTTTGGTCTAGTTCCCTTTTTTGTTAGTATCGAATGTCCTTCTTTATCTCGTTTGATCAATGTAGGTTTGAAGTCTTCTTTGTCAGAGATAAGTATTGGTACTCCTGCCTGTTTTCGGGGGCCATTGGCTTGGTAAATTTTCTTCCATACTTTCACCCTAAGCCAGTGCTTGTTTCTGTCAATGTGATGGGTCTCCTGTAAGAAACAAATTGTTGGATCTTCCTTTTTAATCCAGTTTGTCAGATGGATGGGTGAATTAAGTCCGTTAACATTAAGTGTTAGTATTGATAGGTATGTGGTGATTCCTGTCATTTAGTTGTCTTAGTTGTTTGAAGGTTTGATTGTGTGTACCTAAGTTGAGGTTACTCTCTACTGTCTTGCTTTTTCTTTTCCTGTGGTTTGGTGCTGCCTGTCCTTTCATGGTTATGTTGGGTTTCACTTTCTGTGTGCAGAATCGCTTGAAGAATCTTTTGTAGTGGTGGCTTTGTGGTCACATATTGTTTTAGTTTCTGCTTATCATGGAAGACTTTTATTGCTCCATCTATTTTGAATGACAGTTTTGCTGGGTAGAGTATCCTGGGGTTGAAGTTATTTTCATTCAATGCTCCGAAGATCTCACCCCGCACTCTTCTTGCTTTTAATGTTTCTGTTGAGAAGTCTGCTGTGATTTTGATGGGTTTACCTTTGTATGTTACTTGTTTTTTCATTTTTACAGCCTTCAATAGTCTTTCTCTAGTCTCTGTACTTGTTGTTTTTATGATAATATGCAGTAGGGTAATTCTATATTGGTCATGTCATTTGGTGTTCTGGAGGCCTCTTGCACCTGTATGGGCATAGATTTCTCTGGATTTGGGAAATTTTCTGTTATTATTTTGTTGAATATATTACGCATTCCCTTTTCTTGCACCTCTTCTCCTTCTTCAATGCCCATGATTCTCAGGTTTGGTCTTTTGATGGAGTCAGTGAGTTCTTGCATTTTCTTTTCATAGGTCTTGTGTCGTTTAATAGTTCTTCGGTTTTTCCTTTAATTACCATTTCATACTCAAGTTCTGAGATTCTGTCTTCTGCTTGTTCTAGTGTTGGGTTGGCCTTCCATTTTGTTTTGCATTTCTTTTTCATTCTTTTTTCTGGTGTTTTCCATATCCTGAGTTACTTTCTCGTTAATACTGTCTATTTTCGTCCTGAGTTCATTTATCTCTTTATTTATCGTGTTCTTTGTTTTGCTTTGGTAGGTTATGCAGTGGTTCTATAGTTTCTTTTGTTTGTTCCTGTGCTTTCTCACATCCTCTATTTTTGTTGTCTTGGAATTTCTTGAGTGTCTCCTGTACATTTTGGTTGACCCTATCCAGTATCCTCTCTATAAAATTCTCGTTGATTACGTGCAGGATTTCTTCTTTAAGGTTGTTCTTGTGGGCTTTATTGGGTTCTTTGGCATAGTTTATCTTTGTTTTGTTGGATTCTGTATCTGGGCATCTGTTTTCTTCATTTCCCTCTGGTTCCTGTAATAATTTATTATTGGGGGGAAAATGGTTTCCCTCTTTTTTCCATCTTCCCATCTTTACCCTTGCTACTGTTACTGTACCAGTACTGTGTGTAATTAAGTATTGTCTAGCCTGTAATAGTAACAATGATGATATCTAGAGTGGAAGGATGAGAGGAGAGGGAAAGCAAAGAAGATAAAGAAAAAGGGGGAAAAAAACAAAACAAAGCAAAAACAGAATAAAAGAAATAAACAGGGAGAGATAATGTACTAATCAGCCATGAGCTAAACAGGCATTAGAAGACAGAGAGAGGATAAAAAAAATAATAAAATAATATAAAATTTCCCAAGTTCAAATGCAATAAAGTTTCAGTCTTTATAGATTTGGTGTTATTCCTTCAGCATCCAGTCCTGGTGTTGTTGTCTGAGTAGTA